ACGCAGTCCTGGACAGGTGGGATCTGGCAGCTAGCGTGACTGGGGAGAGATCCTGCTGAGGGACAAGCGGTGCTGGGACGCTCAGGATGGGAGCTGGCACCGCTGGTCTGTAATGCTCCTGGGTTGTCTGCCCTTAGACACAACCTCCAAAGCCACTTGGCTAAGCCACTGCCCCATATCTGGGCCAGATCCTGCACTGATGGCCCTGTGGGGCGAAGTGGCTGCCAGGTGCAGGGGTGGGGAGGGGTTCCTTGCCCTGTTATCCGCGGTTTCCTTCAGTACTCAGGAGGGGCCTGGCCCCATTTCCAGGAGCCCCAGGGGCAAGTGTTCCCTGGGGCCCTTCCTACTGACCCCCTCCCCAGCTGGGAAGAGAGTGAGACAGGATTAGGTGGCTCTGGGGGGCAGAGAGGCGGCTGGTCTGGGAGCTCTATCCAGCCTCCCGTCCCCTTCCACAGATCAGGATGAAGCCCAGCGGGAGATGGGGGCAGGGGGAGACCTGCAGGGGGATTATCTGCGGCTTCATGACCCCCACGCTCTCCTGTCCCAGTCCTCTAGGGGGGCACAGGGCGATGAAACCCCCTGCCCTGGACCAGAGCATTAGGATCCTGTGGTTTGATGCTGGTGATGTGGTGCGGGACATGAGGGCCTGGCATGGGAGGTGCCAAAGGCAGGGGGCACAGCCCCGGGCAGGAGACTCGGGTTTGCTCTTAGCAGGTTTCGCTCCAAGCAGGTGCGATTTCAAAGACCTTGTTCTCGCTCTTCAATTAGGAGCCATTGGGGGTGACCCCCTCTACGTCCCCTCCACTGTGACCCCATCCCCTGCTATATCCTAGCTGGGCCCCCTGGTGGCATCACTTGTTCTGTGACCCCAGCCCCCAGGGTGTAGCCCCCGGGTGTGTCCCCTGTACTGTGGCACTTGGGGACCTCTGGCCCTAAGATGCGTCTCTGGCACTCTTCATAACCGGCAACCCCCACACACACCCTGGCTGCGTTCCCTTGGCTCTCCCCCCGCCCTGTGACCCCACATCCCCCTTGCTGAGTCCCAACCCCCACATATGAACTCCCGAGGCTGTGGCCAGGGCACCCTGGAACCCCTGCATTCAGAGCAGCCGCCGTGCGTAGCTCCCCCTCTGGAAACGTGAGTGGCCGGGCTGGGACAAAGGTCCCTTGTGTTGGGGCCAGTGCAGGACAAGGCGCTTCCTGTCTAGAGCTGCATGGCAAGATTTGGAAACCGCTTCCTGTGCCAGGCGCGTGGCCAGCACCGGAGGGGCGGGTGGTGTTACAGAGGGGGGCGCTCGCCTCTTGCCGTAACTGCCCCATGACCACTCCTCCGCTCAGCACCACAGCCCACTCCCAGCTGGGATCCCGCCTGTTGCAGCCCCTCCCAGCTGGGATCCCGCCTGGTGCAGCCCCTCCCAGCTGGGATCCAGCCCGTGGCTGATGGGGGGGGGTGCAATCTCACGGAGGGTATTGCTGGCATTTGGGGGTCCCCTCGCTAAAGAACGTGGGTCACTCCCTGCAGCAGGGCTCAGGATGACTCCTCACGCCAGGGGAAAGCAGACTGGTCCAAAGCGGTGAATCACTGAGTATCTCCTGCCTGCAGCCCTCTCGTCTCTGCTCCTGGGGGTGGGGGCTCTGAACTGGGGGGCTTTGGAGACAGGGTGTGACCTGTGGACAAGCCCTCTGGGGCCACGCCTGCCTGTCTCTCGCCTGTGGGGGGCCCGTGGCTGGCTGAATCCTCGTGGCCACCAGCCTGCCAGACACCCAGTTTTGAGAGATGTGCTTCGGTCGGTTCTGGGAAGCTGAGCAAGCTGGCGACCTGGGCGCCGTGCTGGGGGGGAGGCTCGGCACTGCCCCCCCCCCGTGTCGGGGGCTGCTGTTGGCGTGACTCATGGGCCGGGCTCTGCAGCAGCATCGCTGGCTCATCCCGGTTGCGTTGGCTGTCACCATCCATCACTGGCTGGGAGCACCAGCTCGGCCCTGCTGGGGAGAGTCCCACGTGCAGCCCTAGTCGCTGCCTGGGAGGGGCAGCTGGGCTTAGACTGGACCCACGGGTGCCATGGGGCTTCTCCCCAGTGAGGGGTGAGCTGGTGGCTGCATCATGGGCAGCTGGAACCTGAGAAATCTCTCCGGAGCCCCCCATAGACGTTCTGAGGACCCAATTGTTTGGAGGTGCAGGGGGCTCCCTCTCTGCTCCCCACGGTCGCTGTCCTCACTCATATCAGGTGCCCTTCATGACCCTTTGCAATGTGGGGTGACCCCCCACTCTGGGCACCCTGGCTGTGTGGGGCAGGCTGGGCTGATTCCTGGTGCTGTGCCCACCCTCTCCAAGCTTCTTCCCTGACCCTCCCACCCCGCAGGGGAGCCCTCTCATCTCTTGTTAATTGCAGGGCTTGGCGCTGTGCAGACCCTGAGGTTCTCCCTGCCCTACAAAGGCCATGGATGGGAGAGGGGGGCTCTGTTTGCTGGGCAGATTAATCAGACAAGCTGAGGTCCTGCAAGCAACAGATGGCACAGATCACAGCCACTTCCCCGGCAGATCAGAGTCAGTGCTGGGGAAGGCTGAGGCAGGATTGGCTGTGGGCATCCACCGGTTCCTCAGGCTGTATCTGGTCCTTGCCCAGACCCCTAGCATAACACCCCCTCCCTGCCATCCTCTACCTATGCCCTGCCTAGCCCCCTGCTTTGCGCCCAGGGGAAGCCGGTAGAATTTCCTTGGTAGTGCAGCTGGGAACCAGGACCCCTGGGTGCTGGCTGTGAGGCAGAGAGGGGGCGTAGGTTCACAGTTGGAGGTGGAGGTGGAGGAGCCAGGACGCCTGGGTTCTGTTCCCCATTCCAGAAGGGTGAAATCCAGGGGCTAGTACAGGAGATGGGGAATCAGGACTCCTGGGTTTTACTCTTGGCCCTGCCAGTGATCACCTGCTTGTCTTTGGGTGAGTCCCTTCCCCACACTGTGTGCCTCAGTGTCCCCGTAGGGGAGCAGGGTTAATGGTCCATATACCTAGGGCAGAGGGGCGAACAAGGGGTTCCAGCCCTGCTTACATGGGGGGTGGATTGGTGATTCCTCTTGCCGGTTGCTCCATGAGCAGCCAGGGCCACAGCGGCTTAGACACAACCATGCTGCCCCCTCCATCATGGGTGGGATGCAGCAGCCTCCCTCCACCATGGCCCACGCTAGGCCGGGCACGACCCCCTCTGCTGTGGCAGGTGCTGCCTCCTGCCAGTCTCAGCCCCCTGAGCTGATGGGTGCCATCTCAACCGGGAGCCCCCCTCTTCATGGCCAGAGCCCGGGCCCCTCGCTCCCCAGGCCTGAGGCAGTGGTGGCCCGAGTGATCCTCCACCTGCCGGGGCCGGATGAAGCTGCGGATGTGACTAGGAGGCCAGGATTTCCCCCACGGGGGGTGTGTGTCATGATCCCGGATGCCCTGCATGCCCCCCGTCCCCACTGCCAGCCAGGCCACCTCAGACCCAGCAGATGTCCTAACAAAGGGGCTGCGGCCGCCGACTCGCGCTCAGCCAAGCACAACATCCTGCCCCAGAAGTGAAGTCATCCCAGAACATGGGGGGGAAACTGGGGGCGGGGGGGAGGAGCAAGGCAGCCAGGGCACCGCCCCCCCCCCATATAACTGTCCCCCTTGTGCTGCTCATTGCCTAATCCCCACCTGTGCTGCTCTAATCGGCATCTGGAAAGTGACTTACTGGGCTCAGCTGCCTTCCCCGCGCTGGGGGTTGGGGGGAGCTGCTTTTTGCACCCACCCTCCTGTGGGACCATTCTCCTGACTCGATCAGTGCTGGGGGCGGGGGGACACCCAGCTGCAGGGGGCAGAGAGAGTATCATGGAGGGCCGGAGCTCAGATTCCAGGCCCCATTCAGCCATGGGCCCCTCTGGCTGGGGAGACTATGGAGGGGGGGCCACCTGTGCCATTGGGAAAGCGACCGAGCCCTTCCAGATTTGTCCCACCCAGCCCCAGACAGCTGTGCTCCCCCTGGCCTCAGCTGGGTCCCTCATGGGGAAAGGCCTGTGCCCCAGCCCGCTCCCCCAGCAGCCAGGCCCTGCAGCCTGGGCTGGATCGGAGCCAGCGCCCCTGAGAGGGGAAGGAAGCAGAGTGTTCCCCACACTCTGTGATGAGTTTAGTGGCCTCAGCTGCTATTGTCTTGACCACAAAGGTGTTCAGCTGCTTGGGGAGAGGCAGGGCTGAGATGGCCCAGCTGGGGTTAACAAGCTCTCGCTGGGTAAGTAGTGACCCCCACCACCCCATGCCCACCCGCTTGGGCAGGGCCGGGGCGACAAATGGGAATGGGAGGGGGCTGGGGACGTGGCTGCACATGGCAGGGTAGCTGGATGGTAGCAGTGACTGCTGCCTAATGGGAACCATCTGGGGCGGTGTGCGGAGAGTAACCAGGAGCAGAGCAGGTCTAGCAGCTGGGAGTAGGGAGGATGGTATGGTGGGGGTGGAGGGTGCCTGGGAGGTGTGGGGCTGTGCTGGCTTGCAGGGGTGGGGTCCTGGGTTGGTTTGGGGTCAAACAGGGCTGGTAAGGTTTGTACGGTGCTTGGAAATTGCCCCCCACTCTGGCACTCAGCTAGCATTCTCCTCCTGGGGCGCCCCCAGGGGTGCTGAGCTCACTCCAGGGCACTGGCAGGCAGGCCAGTGTTCGCACAGGGATCTCGCAAACAGGAGCCACGCCGCTGTGGGCAGTGGGGTCTGTGCGCCAGGCCATGGCATGGTGCCCCCAAGAGTGCCAGAGCATGGTGGGGGGAGCAGATGAGGCAGCTCCTGGGGGCAGGTTTGTCCCTTGTTGCTCTTTGCTGGGGGGCTTCAACTCCCCCCATCTCACCTCAGGGGCCAATTTTGCTGTTTGGCCCCAATGGCATGTAGAGTCTTGTCTGTCTCTGGGGGCGGGGAGGGGGGAAGGGGATCCGTTCTCCTGCCCCCCCCTTGCCTCAAGCACAGTATTTGTGGGGCATCCCCCCCCCCTCACCTTGTGCCCTGTCTCAGCAGGTGGGGCCAGCAAGGTGGAGGTCTCCATGCTGGAGGTGGTGGAGGTGGAGTTGGGCCAGACAGCCAGGATCCCATGCAACTTCTCCCTCCCTGAGGCGAGCGACTATGCCTACATCAACTGGTTCTATGTGAGTACCAGCACCCGCAGGGGGGCCCGGGGTGGGGGACTGCTGGGGCAGGATCGGGGGCCCCCAGCGGGAAAGGTCAGGGGGGACAGCGATGGGGCAGAAGCAGGGGACACTGGAAGATGTAGGCGGGGGGCAGAAAGGAGGGACTCCCATGGGAGGGTTTTAGGGGAATAAGAGCCCTAGAGCAGCTTAGTTGCTAGCCTGGCGAAGGCTGGCGGTGGGGGGTCCTAGTCAGAGCGAGACGGTCTTGCCCCCTCTCCCTGCCTGGCCCCTGGAGGAGATCCCTCCCCACACGCCAGTGTCCCAGCCACCTTGGCGCTGTGCTAACAAAAGCCTCCACCGCCACCCAGTGGCACAAAGCGGGCCCAGCAGCTGATGGGTCCTGGGCTGGAGTGGCGAGTCCCTCTAGTTCTCGTTCCCCTCTTTAGATCGACAAACGCAGCCGGACGAAGATCTACTACATGGTCCGTGGCCAGGTCTTTGAGGTGGACACGGAGTACAAGGGCCGGGTGGCCATGGAGGATGACTTTACCCTCACCATCAGCAGGGTGACCCTGCAGGACGCCAGGACCTTTGTGTGCCAGGTCGGGGCGGGCAGCTTAGGGGTGGGCGAGAACCGGACCAAGCTCCATATTTACAGTGAGTGCCACTGGGCCCAGAACCGGGGGAAGAAGGGGAGAAAGAGGGGCAGGGCGACAGCCTCTGATTGGCATCTCGGCCCAAGCCCCTGCTCTGGATGCTGCTGCTCAGGGACACCAGACAAGCTGACATGCTCCTTTCCCATCAGGGCTGCCTGCCCCTGTCAGGGCTTTGCCCAGGGGCACGGAGGTTTGGAGGCTGATTTAAGCCGGGAGCCTAGGGCAGGGCAGCGTGTGCATGGCTCTCCCCATGCCATAGTTCACAAGGCGTGGGCATTAGTGAGAGAGATGCTGCTGCCCGCTCCAACCCCTGCTGCCATTCCCCGGGCATGTGACATGCCCTGTAGGACCAGCCATGCTGCCCTCGCTGGTCGCAACGCCTACCGGTGCAGTGGGAAGGCGGGAACAGGCTCAGGGTGTTGAGAACAAGGGCTGGGTCTAGTTCCCCCTTCCGTGGTGCTGGCTCGGCCTGGGGAGGGGCTGGGGACTTTGCCTTTCCCCTCCCTCTCGGTCCACCTGGCACCAAACCCCTGCCTGGCATGCTGCTCTTTTCCAGAAACCCCGGAGCCTCCTGAGATTCAGGTGAACGACGCGGGCATCCCAGTGACGAGTAAGGAGATCCCAAAGGTGAGGGGAGCCAGCTGCGCCACACAGAGCCTGGCTAGCACCAAAGGGGCCAGAGCACTGCTGGGGGGGAAGCTCACAATCATAGATGCCAACTTGTCCGGCATCTGTGGATACTCAACCCGCCCCAAGCCCCGCCCCGACACCTATGCTCACAAGGCTGGCAGGCACCCAGAAGAAGGTGGGACACTACTGGCAAGAAGCTCACAGTGCGAGCAGGGGTGGGGGGAATCCTAACTGCCTTGTCCAGGTGCAAGCTGCACCATGTGCTGTGTGTTGGGGGGTACTAGGGGGCACTGGAGGTTTTCAGCACCAAGCGCTCCCTTTGCTGTCTCAGATCGCAGTGTGCATCAGCAAGAACGGCTTTCCGGCCCCCAACATCACATGGTACAAGAATGGGAGCCCCCTGTGGCAGGATGACACAAGTAAGTTTTGGGACCAGCTCCTTCTCCTTGGGCTGCTTAGGTACGTTGTAGCCTGGTGAGGCCAGCCCTGGGGAGCTGGGGTAAGGGGCCTGCCAAGGCAATTCCAGGACCACAATGCTCAGGATAATCCTGTATCCTGCTGCAAGGAAGCTCACAGCAACGGAGTGCCCATGGGCACAGTTGCGAGAAGCTCACAGCAATCCTGCTCAGCCCAGGGGTCGAGAAGCTTGTGCATCCCCATTCCTTCCTTCCAAGGGCTGGATCCTAGAGTCAGGGGCGCAGGGGTGGCTTTGGAGCCAACAGGGTCTGCAGGTGCCTAATCCTTCTTGGCACTGCCCCCATCACCTGCTTTCGCCCAGCAGAAATCAGCATCCTCTCCACCCTCATCAAGGAGTCCAGCGGGCTGTACACGGTGAGCAGCACCCTCTTTGCCCGCGTGAGCCGTGAGGACCGCCAGTCCCGCTTCCACTGCGCGGTCAGCTACTGCCTGCTGGGGGCCGACCAGACTGCCGTGTCCGAGAAGGTCAACGTCACCGTGTTCTGTGAGTCTGGGACTGATCAGCCAGGGCCCGGCCAGCCCAAGGGAAGGGGAGTGACTCTCCCTACTGGCAATAACACTCCCTGTGCTGCAGGGTTGATGCTGTAACTTCCATGGCCCCGCCTGAACGCCGTACGGCTCTTGCTCTGCATGGGGATGGTAGCGGGGGCCTGCAGTGATCCACCCCCCAGCTCCAGGTGTTGCCGGAGGTGCATGGCAACAGGTGGCATCTGCTCAAGTCTTGGCCCCTCACACTTCTGAGCGTGGATATAGGTGGAGTCACTCTGCTCTCCAGCCAGAGCAGCGCCCCGTCTATCAGATTCCCCCTCTCCTGTTTGCCTCTTGCTAGTTTCTCAAGGACCCCTGGTCTGTCCGCCCCACGGTCCCGGCTGAGCTGAGGCTCTTCACGTCTCTCTCTCTCTCTCTGCACCCCAGATTCCACGGAGAAGCTAAGTCTGGTGATACGCTCTCCCCAGCCGCAGGTGCGGGAGGGGGACGAGGTGACGCTGCACTGCGAGGGGGACGGGAACCCCCCGCCTGAGTACAACCTGCTGAAAGTGCAGGTGAGCAAAGGGGCAGGGCAGCTGGCTGGGGCAGGCTGGCTCTGGATGCCCAGGGGCTGACAGAGTGTGCCTTGAATATGGGGCTGCCTGACAGTCCCTGTCTGAGCTCCCCCCATGCTGTCTCTGTGCTCCCCGGTACACCGGGGTCCTCACCCTTCCTGCGCTGGTGGGAGGGCTGCGGGTTCCACACACTTGCTACACCTGGACCTGCCCCAGTCTGGGAATCTGTTGCCGAGGGGTGGATGGCTCAAGGAAAGGGATAATCTCTGTGCCAGGGCACCGGTTCCAGCCCCGCCCCACGCAGAGTGGGCTTGATCAGGAGATGGGAGGCAGAGCCTGGCACCTCCCTGCCCCCCCCCACACACACACTAGGGCACCAGTTCCAGCCCAGCCCAGGGCAGGGGAATGGACTACGGGGCCGCAAACCAGCAGCAGCTCCCCCCTGCTCCCGGTGCAAAGGCGAGCCACGCGTGTGCCCACGTACCCTCACTCCCATCTGCCCTGTGCCCCTCAGGAGGGTGCCCAGGCTGAGGAGAAAGACCTAACCTCCAGTAACGGGGTGCTGATCCTGCGGAAGGTCAAGAAGGAGGACAGCGGCCGATACCTGTGCCGGACTTTCGACCTCGACTCCATGGCGAGCCTGGAAGCCACGGCGGAGCTATCTGTGAACTGTAAGGAAGGGCCGGGGAGGAAGGCGGGGAGGTTCCCCTGGGCCCTGTGCTGTCCCAGCCCTTCTCCCATTGAGCTCCACATGAATCTGTGCTGTGCTGCCTGCCCACCACCCGCCCCCATCCAGCACGATGGGCTGGCGACTCAGGGCCCCGTGACCCCAGCTGACCGGACGAGCGGTTCCCCAGTGGGGGGGAGGTGGCATTTGAGAATGGCCGCTTCCGGCTGCCTCCACCCAGAGCCAGCCTGTGTCCATGCTCCGGGCTGGCTCCTGGGAACCAGCTTCTGTTCTGTACCAGAGACAGCAAGCCCTAGGCCACACGAAGGGCGCCACGTCTCATCCCCACGCTTGCCCTCTCCCTAGACCTCGAAGGGCTCAAGATAACCCCTGAGGGGCCCATCCAGCTGCAGCAGGGAGAAGGCTTAGCCCTGACCTGTGACGCCAGAGGCTCCAAGCCCTTGGAGTTGCGGTGGAAGAAGGAAAAGGTAACAAACAATGCGGACGGCTGCTCCCAGACAATGGCACAGTGCTCCCCTTCCAAAGCGGCGCTGGGACCTGGGCACAGTGCAGGAGAGGCCTTGGCTGTGCTCCAGTGACCTGCAGAGCTAGATGAAACCTCATTAATACTCACCCCGGGGCAGGACATTCCCTGCCCGCTAACCCCAAGGGGGTGAGAGTCTCTCCCTGACCTCCAACAGCAGGGCTTTGAGTGGAGCTGGAAAGCTTGGGAAGACCCAGCTGCTCCCTCAGCCATGTGCTGCTCCCGGGCAAGAGGCGGGGCCGCAGCAGTCAGACACTAGCCTGCTCGTTTCCTGTTCCAGAAGGGGAAACTACTGGGGCACGGAAAACAACTGAAACTGAGCAACGTCACCCTCGAATCTTCCGGCAACTACAGCTGCGAAGTGTCTGTGGCTGGGGTGCCAGGGCTCTCCCGCTCCAAGCAGGTGTACGTCGCCGTGCACGGTAAGAGCCAGCCACCGCCATATCCCTGCCCCCCCCTTCCTGCACAGGCTGGGAGGGGACAGCTTCGGGGGGGGGGGGAATCCAGCAAGGAGCCCATGGAATTGCCCTCGTGGTACACACAGCCCACACCCGACTGCTTCCACCCCAGCCCTGCTGGTCCCTGGGAGGAATGAGCGGGCAGAGAGATGAGAGACGCAGCCTCCCAACATCCTGAAGGGCGTGGTGCATCTCCCCTCACCTGGTCAGATGGCTGCAGGGAGCCCATGTCACAGTGCTGGACAATTGCACCTGTATTTCCCCCTCCATGGGCCCTTGAGGGCACTCACTCTAGGCTCCTGGCTCCTCAGTTGTCACCTCTCTTGGGCAGAGACTCGCATTTCTCTCCCTCCTGACTTTTCCAGGTTTTTCCTCCTGAGTTTTTCCAGGCTGCAGTTTATTCCCAGCAAGCCAGAGTGCCTGAATAGGGCACAGTCCATGCTTTGCTTCCTCGATAGAGACTATGAACAGCTGTCATTGCCAGTAGTCACAAGTCTGTGCACAGCTCTTTCTAAGCAAGCACATTTATTCTTAAGGTGAAAGCATAACAGAGAAAATCGATTACAAACAAGCAAAGAGCCTCTATGCAGAGGTCATCCCAATTGCAGCCTCAGGTTCGTCAAACCCCACACCTGGGTTTTCCCCACCGTTACAAGTTCATAGCATCTCAGATTCCAGACAACCATAAATAGCTCAGTCATTCCTTTGTACGTCTTGGGCTTTGATCTTGGCTTTGTGTACTAGGTGATCAGCAGACAATGGCTCACTTCACAGGATGGAGCTTCAAAAGGCTGCGGTTTTGCAGAACCAGAGATGGGGAATTTGCATTCCCCCCAAGCTCCCCCAGGAAAAGCACTAAACACATTTTGTTCCCAGACACTCTTCTTGCCTGACCCATTGTTCAGTATAGTCCTCTGAAACACACACACACACACCCCGCTGTCACATCTCCCCTCAGGAGGTTGCACGCAATTCCGGCCCACAATAAGACAAACTGTTCATCGATTACAATGGGGCCCCAAAGATACAAAAACGTAATCCAATACAGTCTCCCAAGGACACTGCAGGAAATTGTCCCATCTGTCCCAGGCCACGCTGACACCTCTGCTTTGTGTTTCTTCCTCCCCCATAGCAAAGCCACAGATCAGTCCCAAGGATTCCCTGGTGCCCGTGAAACAGAATGAGCTGGTGACCCTGATGTGCAGAGCTACTGCCCTCCCTGAGCCCACGATCACGTGGAGCATCAATGGAACGGTGAGATCCACCCGCCGGATGCAGTGCAGGGAATGGACCTGGGGGCTCGGCAGTGGTTCTTGACCTCTTCCATTCAGGCGTCTCCTGTTACATATTTTTGGGGAACCCCCAACTAGGGAGGGCAGTCGTAGGCCCTGGTTGGGAACCCATGGGCTAGCAATCACTTCTTCCCCTCCTGAGCGGCATCCCTCATTCTCTTCCATCTCCCCCCAGGTCCAAAACCACATAGACCATCACCACATCATCAGCAACTTGACCGTCCAGGTCACCCCAGAACTGCTGCAGTCAGGAGTCACCTGCATGGCCACCAACAAGCTGGGCACTAGCAGTCTTCACATTACGCTGCAGCTGAGTAAGTCTCCTGGCCACCTTGACGGGGGAAGCATCCCATGCGGGAAATCCCCTTTTCTCACTCCAGACCAGACTGGAGTCCTCCCCTCCTGCTTTAATTCACAAAACAGAGAGACCATTTTTTCTTAATGATTTTTTTTTTTAATTTCTGATTAAAAACAAAATACACAAGATACCAAGAGCATCAGACAAGTCATGTAGCCTTCAATGCACGGGCCCACACAACCCCAATAGCGCTCAGCCTGCCTGTGAAAAGAGTCACGGTTCACCCAAAGATGGATAGAATAGGGGATCTGCAAAGGGGCTTTACATTCTCCAGGCCTGATGGTCATTCATGCCTCAGTGGCAGGGTATAAATGGGCCTCAGTGTAAATGAGAATTGGGCCCTTCTTCAGGATCAGAGCTGGTTTTAAAAAAAAGTAATACGTGTTTTGTCAAAATATCAGCAATTTCAATTTTTTAAACAAAGCTTTGGTTTTTGGAGAAAGAAGTGACAGGGCACATAAAATGAAAGTGTTTCTACCTGCTGGGTCCCTCGAATTTTCAAAAATCAGAAAATTCTGCCCCAAATATTTTTGGAGAGAAAAACTCTGACGGTGATGGAGAAAGACAGACAGCACCCACCTCCCCCTGTCCATGATGATGGTTCCACTTGAGACATTTCAGGAGTAGCTGGTCTGGCTTGGTCTGATTTTGCTGAAGTTCTGAGCTTCTCTGCCATTTTTAAAATCTTAATAATAATCTCTTCCTCTTTCTGTCAAGGCCTAATCCTGTCAAGTGCTGAGCATCCTCTACTCACATTCATGTCAATGGGAGTTGAGGATACTCAGCACCTCCCAAGACCTGATTCTCAGTACATGAGTACTCCCTTTGACTATTCACGTGCGCCAACGTCACCTAACATGGCCAGTCAGGAGAGACGACGGGTCCAGGGAAAGCAGGATTGACAAGACCTGAATTGCTAATGGAGGAGGAACTTTTCCGTCTCTTTGTAAAAGTCAAGTTTTCCTCTCTGCCGTGAACCTAAATGTACATAGAAAAGAGATCACTAATACCATAACAGGGAGGGCCACTTACTCTCTATTTACAACTAGTAGGAAAAGTACTCTGATTGTAGCACAAACCCACTGTGTCCTCAAAAGGCCGGAGTAAGTAGGTAACAAGGAGTTCTCACTCATAGCTGTTTTCACTTGAAGAGAGCTCAGCTTTGTGAAGAGAATCAGACATGTGGAGAGAATCTTTCTTCAATGGTAGGATTAAATTTATTTCCCTGGTCTCTTGCTGCACTGATGGAAGAACGTGTTGGTTCTTAAGCATTTGCTCTGGGTTCAGTTCCCTGTGGATTACAAATCTAAAAGCCAAGTCCACTTTGCAGGGTATGAAGCTCCCACCTACAAATTCTTCCATAAGGGCAAAACGTGAATTCTAGAGTTAGTGTTTACAAAGTCTCCATAGGTTATTACTGGAGCTGCTGTGCACCACAGTCCAGGATCAGGGCCCCAATGTGCTAGGTGCTGCACAAAGTGACATTCCCTGCCCCAAAGGGGTTACAATATTTCCTTGGTTGCCTCACGCCAAAGGGTGAGCTAAGGAGAGGTGACAGACTGAACTGTAAGATTTAAAGCTCGGTTCTACTTGAAAAGTGACTGTGAAAGAGGCATGTGGGGTCAGGGCGGGGGGAAGAGGGTTCATTGTAAAGTAGTGATTTTCCTAATTTGCAAGTTCAGCCCTGAACCGAAGAGCTGCTGGCTTTGATTGGAGCTCAGGCCCGATTAACAGCAGAGACTGGGCAGTCAGAACTTAATTTAATTAACGGCACTGTTGAGAATGCAAAAGCTAGAAGAGAGGCTGGGCAGGGCTATGGGGAAGACTGAGCAGTCAATGCTTATTCGTGTCCTTCAAATCAGCAGGTAGGATGCTGAATGCACACAGCTCTCCGATCTGAGCTGCCAAAGGACGGAGGGGAATTCTGAGGCCAGTTGCTGATGGCCGTTGGCCTGGCTTCAGGGAGGGCAGCTTGAATTCACTTAACACTCACTGACCTTTCCCATGTGCTGGCTAATAATTTCCAAATGTAGAGTCTCCTTCATGTTTCTTCCCCATGTCTCTCTGGGCTGGAGAGTAAGCCCAGCTGCTTAGCTGTAGCCTACGCTGCGTGATCCGTTCTCAGCACGATTTGTTAGTGGCGTCTGTGTTGAACATTGAGGTCCTAGAAAGTGGAGGTCCAAAAGATGATTCATCATCTCGTTATCGTTAGCCCTGGGTCCCTGTGGCGGGAGAGGTACTGTGCACACGGGTGAATCTGTAACTGGCTGGGGAAAGCCAATGAGCACGTCTGCAAGGCTGCCCAGGGGCAGGGAATGCTCGCCCGCTCCAGCCCCTGGCGTTTCAATGACACACTGTGCACAGACAGATGGTTCAAGGCTGAAGTCTCCCTCTAGCTGGTGGGATGCTGCTGGGGGCACCCTTCATGCTAACTCACTCCCAGCTTTCCAGAGAGGGGAGGAAATCAAATCAACCAGCCAATGTCTATCTTCATTACAGGGACGACAACTACGTCACCTCCTCCTATTGGCAACACTACCGGTAAGCGTCCCCAGGGAAAGTGCTGAATAATGGCCCCTGCAGTGGTCAGAGGAACGAGATCTCACCCACACATTAAGTACCCCCTGTGGAAGGGAAGGGATGAGACTAAGAGCCCAGAATGGCCCAGCAGTGCTGCCCGGGCCCCTTGAAGATGGGGATGGATGGGGAACAGCAGCCGCATCCCCTCAAGTCACCCCTTGGTGTCCTGGTATGGAGAGATGCCATGGGCACCTAGTTCTAAACTTCAGACCCTGTGAGCTGCCCTGGGGCACCGGGGTGGGCGGTTAAGTCCCGGAGCCAATGGGGTGAATGTCTGCCCAGAGCCTTCCCACCTCCGGGAGGAATGGGCCTCATTCAGCACTCTCTCTCCATTCTTTATTGGCATTCTAGCGGAACCCATCAAGAAAGGTCAGTAGCTACTGTGCCCCACAGGACCCCCTGCCTCCCAGCTGGTCCCTTTCCTCTTGACACCCCCGGCCTGCTTTCATCGTGTGAGCTCCTCGCACCCCTTCTTGTGGCCTCCAGGCACCCACTCCCAGCCTTCCCCTCTGCCTACAGCTGTGTTGATGGTTGTGTGTCCCCCACCGTTTGCAGAGTGCAACATTCACGTTACACCCCAGAAACAGGCACGAGCACGTGACTCCTTCAGGCCATTCTTCCCCTAGTTTCCTCCCCACTCTTTGACCTTCACTCAGCTGGGATCTCTTGCCCTCGGTCCGTGGCACTGGGTGGGTGGCAGATGCTGCAGAGGGAGGTCTAAATTAGAGCCTAAAACCCAGTATTTGGATGAGAAGTGCTTCCATATCAGCAAAGTGTTTCCGACCTGACCGAGGTTTTAGACACTTTATTTTAGATGCTGGGTGATTTTAGATTTGCTTAAGGCCCACTTTCAAAAGCGGCTTAAGCACTTAGGAGGCCAAGTCGCATCGAGCCTTAGGACCCGAAGTCACTGACGGCTTGTTGATACGTGGCACACTACTCAGCAGCACAACGGCTGTGCGTCAGGGAAGACATGACCTCCGTCAACAGGAGGGGCTCTCCCATTACTGGAGATGCTGCTTAATACACAGCACGTTACAAACATCCATTCGTTGCGTCCCATATTGTTACCCCCCAGCAAGCCAACAGCAGGGCCAGGAACAGAACCCGAGAGCTCTCCCAGTGCATTCTGCTAGCTCTGCTGCATGCATCCCCCTTCTCTTCCTGGTGCCCCCCAGCAACCCCCTGCCCGTTCAATGCCCTTCCGATGCAGCCTGGGGAGAGGTAAGCGTGCTGCCCACTACCGCGGCGAGTGGCAGGTGACGGGCGTCTCTCAGGGAAGCCGTGGGGTCAGGCAGTAACAGCACCTGTCTGTTGCGAGCAGAGCAAAAGACCCAGGAGAGCAAGGGCGTGATCATCGTGGCAGTCATCGTGTGCATCCTGGTGATCGCCGTGCTCGGCGCCGTGCTCTACTTCCTGCACAAGAAAGGCAAGATCCCCTGCAACCGCACCGGGAAGCAGGACATGTAAGCACAGCTTGTGCCCCAGCCACACCCTTCCAGCGCTCCCCCACCTCCCAGCTAGCAAGGGCTTGGCTCAAAGACGCACCAAATCATTCACGCTTCCCATCTCATCCCATTCAGGCAGCTTGCTCTGCCCCCCACCCCCCTCGGAAGGGCTAGGATGCCTCACTGCCTTTCTCATGCCGGGGGGAGGCCTGGATGTAGAGTAGCCAAGAGCTTCCCAGCAGCAAAGGCTCCCGGCACTGCCTCCTGAAGCAGGCACTGTAGGGAGCCACAGCTGAGTTTCGCCATCAGCCAGCAAGCCCTCGTGTGACCACACTCCAGCAGCACTGAGCTTGGCAGCTATCCCAGGGCTCCTGCCCCTTCCCCTACAGCACCTCCTGCTGGTAGAGGCTGGAGTCGTTGAAAGCTTCCCTCGGCCTGGGTTCCCACCATAGTTGGATTTTGCTCTGACTCCTTTTCCTTCCGCCCTCTGGGAGTCCGGAGCAATCAGCCAAAGGGCCCAGATTCCCGCACCTCAGCCTGTAGGCGCTCAGGTACCTCAAACGTCTCTGAAAACTGTCACCTCCCTCCCCCTAGCACCAGGCCAGATGCCCGTAAAGACGAGATTGTAGTTGAAGTTAAGTCAGATAAACTTCCCGAAGAGGCGGGGCTTCTGCAGGGCGCTAACAGCGAGAAGAGACCTGCAGGTGACCAGGTAGGACAGATCTCCATGCAATTACCTTCCGGGGGCTGGGCTCTCCCTTGGCAGCCTCTGGCCAGGAGCAGCAGCGATGCTCGAAGGGCACGGGGGTGTCTCTGCCCTACAGCTCACACTGAGGGTGGGCCTCCTCTGGAGCTGGGGAAGCAGCTGTCAACTGCTGTTCCCAGCACCCCTCATCTCGCATGGGCCTTCATCATCCATCGTCATCAGCAGTAAATAAGGGAAGTGGGGAAGAGACCTCATGGTGCCAGCCTTCATTGCACAACAGTCAGCGCCGGGGCCGATATGTGGATGTGTTGCTGCATGCTCGTGGGAAGTAGCGGTGTTGAAACTGCTTTCCCTTCTGCTATAAAAACTTTCCCTTCCCCCTCCTTAGCTCTCTCACCGTGAACTTGACCACTTCCCCTAGCTCCCAGGAGAAAGCAGAGTTGCAGGCCCTTAGGTTTCCCTGTTCCCTCTTGGTTCGCGGTCAGCCTGGTCTGGAGCTAAGCGGTGTAGGTGTTACAAGCTAGAGAACCTCTGGCCTCCGCAAAGCCCGCGTAGGGACCTAGACTCCCTAGGCTAGGTATGTGCCTAAGAATGGGATCCACAAACACCAGGGCAGGGTCTGTCCTCAGCCATGGGACTGCAAGGAGGAGGAAAAGAAGGTAGCAGCCCTAACCAGTGGGTTCTGCTGCTAGGGAGTTTTTCCCCTCTCCCCGGGGAAGCTGCTTCATGGGGTATAAGCAATTAAAGAGGCAGCCCCCCCCGCCACTGATATAGGCTTGTTCCTGACGTTTATCCTAAAGTGCTTTGTCTAGTTTTAATATGCAGAGGTTTCCAGTTGGACAGTTCCAGTTCAGCTAACATGTTCCTTGGTTTAATGCAAATCGGCGTATACGAGCACATGCCCCAGTAGCCTTCAGCTCATCCCTCAACCACAGAATGGTGTAAGGAGGAGCCTCCACTGCCAATACCCACTGCTCTAGGAGTCACACTTACCCGGGTTGGCTCTGAGCAGCTTGTCCTTTCATCTGTGGGAGGAGGGAGAACCTGCACTCTGATTGCCTCTAACTACTTATTTCTTGTCCATGGCTTAAAGGCAGAGAAATACATCGACCTGAGGAACTAGAATGAGGGACCTGCCATGTGTTTTTTCCCTTCAAACCTTTCCTGATCCTGGATCGCTGCCTCCCAACCCTGCTCCAGCCCCTTGGGAGCGTGACCAGAGACCTTGAAATGCATCACAGCGCTGAGACTGCTCTGCCAGGAGAAATACCTCACCCCCCAACCCCACCCAACATGGCCATTACACTAGCCAAGGGTCTGAAAGATACCATGCTAGCAGCAGCAAATCTGGACTGGCTTACTGCTTCAGAGAGGCCAAAAACAAATTCTTGGAAACATCCACATTACCCTGACAGGGGAAGAATTTAAGGTCTTATCAGGAATGTTACTCTTCGCTTTTTATTGTTCCAGTTGTGTGTGTGTATTGAGAGAGGGGTGGGGGGGAAATCTAGAAGCAATTTTACCGAAAATTCACAGCAGGTAAGTCCCCCTGCCCTCCTGAAAGTAGGCTAGAGCACTAGGCAGTCTGGGTTTCTCTGGCTAGAGTTGTGCTTTTAATTGGAGCTCCTTCCAACTGAAAAAAACCCAACCCCACAACCCGTATTAAATTAGCAGCATTCAGCTAAGTCTCTGAACAATGGGTGCATAGTATGAATTACAGCTAGGGGGTGGAATTTACCTGGTGGGTTCTAGGATGCAAATGGTAAATTCTCTTAGCTTTTCCCTTAACTGTTCTTGTTTTGCTGGTTTAGATTCACAGCCTCTCAACTTGCACTGGTGAAATGCAGGTAGAGCGCTCCATTCTCGGAAGAGTTGATTTCGTTTTCCCAAGTGACTCTACTGAGAACAAGTAGCTGAAAGGAAAGGATCTCTGTTCTATGTGCAGTAAAAAGCAGGGCCTCCCAGTTGTTCTGAGGTTTCGGCAGGGACTGGACCCAACAGTACATTCATATGAAAGTTTTAAAGCTGCATGATGTGGCATTGCTTAGCTGAGGGCTTAGGCCTTGTTTCACACCTGCCACCTCCCTGAGGAACGTGGCTACCCTGGGCAGATTTCTAATTAAGCTGTACCGTGGCTGAAATGAGCAGGCCCTCCAGCAGACCACATCTAAAGTCGAGGCTGATGAAGAGAGAAGCTTTATGCCATGCTTAGAAATTGGCACCTCTCTTAAAAAAAACCCTCAAAAAACCCTAAAGTATTCTCACTAGATAAAACATTACATATCCTTGACTAAAATCCCACTCTCTGGCCTAGGCCAGGGTGACAGGTACCAACTGTGAACAAGAAGGGAAACTGACAGAACTGAGCTCCCAGACTATTGAACTGGTGCTATCTCAGAGATACCAAACAGACCACCACCTCACGGAAAACACCCAGCCTGTAAGCATATACCGCTGTTGCTTCCATCAGCCCTATGAGTTCTCCCTCATCCCCAGGCGAACACTGAGGAGATGAGCCCCTTGCTTTTCCTTCTCGATTCCTATTAGAGAAGTAAAGCAAGTTGCAGAACTTGTTTCACCTAGGCACACACCCCCATAGCTGCTACTTAACCAGCCGTTTATTTTCCATTCCTCCAACTCTTCAGCAACAAACAGACTTACATTAACACTGGGCAAAACGATAACAGCTCCTTTCCTATGCACCCAACTTCCTCAGTGGTTATTGAGACTCTCTGCGGCAGCAGATGCAACCAACTCATTAACAAAAAGGGTGAGCTGTACTTGTGAGCTAGAATTATCAGAAGCAAAAGCTTTGGTTATATATATATATATTTTTGTTGGTTTGTGTGTAAATTTAAGAGTTTGTCTGATATTTGCAGGGGTTTTTTTTATATATGTGAAAATAAAAAGCCAAAATACTTCCAGGACTGGCTGTACTTTGTCTCAATTCACAATGGTGAAGTGAGAAACTCAATTAGGGATGGTAACATTCCCTAGGTGCGGATTGTACACTTGGACTGTAATGTGTGACTTCATCTCCTCCTCCCTTCACCCCTCATTTGTCTACTGCATTTATAATATATGCTCACAACTGGGTCAGGAGCTACTACTGCATTCCTACTTAGACACAAGAACGGGGGCTCTTGTTTGTTAGACTGAATTTGATTTAGATTTAATTAACACAGGGATGGGCAAACTTTTTGGCCTAAGGACCACATCTGGGTATGGAAATTGTATGGCAGGCCATGAATGCTCACAAAATTGGGGGTTGGGGTGCAGGAGGGGGTGAGGTTGGGGGTGTGGGTTCTGGGGTAGGGCTAGAAATGAGGAGTTCAGGGTGCGGGCTCTGGCTGGGGTTGCAGACTCTGGGGTGGGGCTGGGGATGAGGGGTTTGGGTGTAGGAGTGTTCTCTGGGCTGGGACCAAGGTGGTCAGAGGGGCGGGAGGGGGATTAGGGCTAGGGCAGGGGCACGGGAGGAGGTCAGAGATGCAGGCTCCGGATGGTGCTTACCTCAAGCAGCTCCCATAAGCAGCAGCATGTCCCCTCTCCAGCTCCCGGCCAATGGGAGCTGCAGAGCTGGCGCTTGGGGTGGGGGCAGTATATGGAGCCCGCTAGCTGTCCCTATGCGTAGGAGCCGGAGTGGTGGACATGCCCACCATGCTCCTGCTTCCAGGAGCCGCGCCAAGCGGAGCAAGACCCTGACCCCACTCCCCGGCTGGAGCACCAAGGCGGGGCAAGCCTCTGACCCTGCTCTCCGGCAGGAACTTGAGGGTCGGATTAAAAGGTCTGACAGGCCAGATGCAGCCCGTCGTTTGCCCACCCCTCACTTAACAACTCCATAGCTGTGCTGCTGCCAGAGAGGAAGCAGACGCAAATGTTTCAGGAAAGATCTATTGACAGTCCTCTCTCATAAGAGGTCAAGAGTACCCCCCCCACAACTCAAGAGAGACATTTCTCATTAGTTTCTTATAAGAATGAGGCCTCTCAGATACCAGTTTGCATTGCTTAAGGAGCACATGCTTTCCTAGAATGCCAGCAGCTGGCGACAGGCCCTTTTTCCTATATTTCCCACCTTTGCTCAGAAGGGGCAGTGTTGACAACCCATGTGTTAGCAGAAGACCAAAGCTCTGTGAATGAGGAGGAATCCTCATTCAGTAGGGCTGTGCAGTTTAAGACAAACTTGCAGCGTCTCAAGGCTTGTCTCCACTAGAGTTTTGCTGCTTTAACTACACTGGTATGACTGACGCTGAAAAAACCCCTAGTGTGGACGCAGCTATACTGGGATAAGTGTTTATACCGTACTCCAGTTCAGGAAGCAAAATACACCATATACCAGTATAACTTCATCTACACTAGGGTTTGTACTGGTATAACTATGCCAGTGGGGGAAAAATCCCACCTGTCACAGACAGTTATACTGGTATATCTTTTCTAGTGTAGACCAGCCCTGAGCTGTCCACCCTAATACCAGTTTGTATTAGGATGTACCAAATAACCGTAATAAGGTACCTTTTATCAGTTCCTTTGGTGGTAAGAACACCCAGTCAGCAGTTTTCAGCGTTTAATGTGCATCCCTGTTACATTGAATAGGCTCGTGACAGTTTCAAGAGCAGTACTGTCCATGAATCACAGTAAGACCACCTCACGGATATGCTACAACAAAGGAAATTTATTTAAAAATAAAACTTTGTTTTGTTTTGTATTTTTTTTTAACTGACACAGGTGCATGAAATTCAAAACAAAAAAGCTCTTTAGTGGGCTGCATACAAGAATGAAAAAAATTAATAAATAACATTAGTATAACTTCTAAACATTAACAATGTATTTGCAAAACAAAACGAGGACTTTAAATCAAATGAACCTTAAAGCTCAGCTACTCTCTGTAAGAATATTTACCTTCTGTTTTTCTTATTCTTTACAGGTCTCAAAGGATTAAATACTGCTAATATAAATTTTTTTTATATTAATGACACTATTATACTTAAAATATTTTGTGAAAATCTCAACATTTTAACACTGATATTATATAAATTGGTATTCATTATTCAAGAGAAATAAAGCTACTCTTCCTCCCCCACCATGAATTTCAAAAAAAGATTTATATTAGGAATTTAAAAAATAATAATTTTCTTGTTTCCTGCTCTGATTTTAAACTGGGGCACATTAAAAAAAGCCACAAGAATTGCATTTTTGTCCTTAGTCAGATAAAATGCACATGTACAGCAGTTACGCTGCCCCTAGATTAGCTGGAAAGATGTACAGGGTCTTAGTGCATAAAGCAATGTGCTGTTCCCCAACCTATCCAGCTGCCCTGGGATTTGGGTAGCAGCTAGGGACACATGGGGAAAGCTTACAAAGAAAGCAAAAGCCACTGCAAACCAGCAGAGAGGCACTAACTGCTTAATGCTTAAATCTGCAGCTCTTGCAGAGAGGAACAAGACAAGTGCAGGTCAGCAGGCAGATTTCGCCACCTACAGGAGTAACAGCATGGCTGTTACCTCCCTCCTGTGGGAATTGGTTGTCTTGTAGATTCCCATACAGTTGGAAGGGTGGTTAACGCACTTGAGTGGCTGGAAACTTGGAATGGGATGCACATATCTGCAGTCACAGCTACCTGCTGATTGTCACTTGGTGAAATACAATCTGGTCCCACTGCATTTTATTACTCCTCTCTCACTGGACTGTATGTTGCTTACTTTGTTTCCTGGGGTGAGAGGTGGGGGACAAACAGCATTTTTATGACCAGAACTCTAATTGGTTTTGTTAAAAGCAAAAAGAATCCTGTATTACAATTCTACTGTCTTCACACCAAGCTTATTACAGCACCAATCCAGACAAGTCACCGTTAGTAACAGGGATAAGGTAAGAAACCTCCACAGTTGAAATGCTACAAAACACAGGGTAATCTTTGAAGTGACTCTCCCCCATCTCTCTCTCTCTCTCCTCCCGCCCACCACCCACTTCCATCCCCTTCAAAGCAGTTGCACTCACAGGCATCGATAAGGCTAGTCTAGTTGAGGCTCTAAGTTTTCACAAGAGGATACTCAGATCCAGCCTGGAGATGCAGCATTCTCTTAAAGGCACTAGACATTTGGCTTTTTTTTTTTTTTTCCTTTCTTCCATTTCTTTCTTTTAAAGTAAAATAAAACGTTGACATTCTGGAATAAAGACACAGGGGTGGGATGGGGCAATCATAAGGTTACCTCTGCAAAAGAAAAGCAGCAAGGAAAATACACCACAAAGTGCTTCACTTTACTCCACAGAGAACCACCTCAGGAAGCGCTGTTGGCTCGGCTATGCTTCGGCAACACTCGCAGACTGTTACAAACATTCACGTGTTCAAGGAGAAAAAGCCACTTAAGTTTCTCAGATAAGTTTAAGACACAAACAGTGGGCAGAAAGGACACATGCATAAAAATAACATCAGAGATCCACGCCACAAGGATTGCCTTCAAATCTCTAATCCTGGAATGATGTCCACAGGCAATGAACCTCCATGACCGAACCCTGAAAAGAGGTCTGTCAAAGCTTTGCTCGGCATGATCTAATTAGCAACAGGACAAGCCTGTGAAAATGGACTGTCCACAAGGATTAGGACACTGCTGCTTTGAACAACAGGCTCTCTGCACAGCAGGACAATAGTTCAGGCTTTTTAGCTGGTTAAATTTAATTGCCGTGCAGCAACAGCAGAAGCACTAACCCTGCTGAAAATGCAGCCACAGTGCACATTGAAACACCCGGGCTGACCGTGCAGAGAAAGTTATAAGCGAAGTGGCTGCAAAACCAACCAGGAGTTAGTGGCAGCTTTAGAGACAGATACCAAGAAAGGGTAGAAAAGAGTAGCCTTCACGTCAGAAGGGTCACTATTTGCTTCTGAAGCACATTTTGGACAAGCACAGACCACAAAATGATTCAGATACTCCAGAAATTGCTTGGTCAGTATCAAAACTACCACTGCATCATGCAGATGTAATAAGAGAACAGAGCTGCCCTTGTACCAACCTCAGCTGTTCCTGCACTAAACCTGCAACCAACAAGGTCTGAAAGACATGCTGACCACGGCCTGCTATGTATTATTGTCACAGCATTTCACACAAAAACAACAAGACATGACCTGTTAGTTGCCGTCTGTCACGTGCACAGGCAGAGGAACAGCAGATTAAGGTATATTCCATGGAGGGCAGACAATCACCCTTCCCTTTACAGCTCAAGACTTCACTAGGGCTGGACTCTGCCCTCAGCGATGCACATGCAACCCACGCTGAAGTCACATGGCTTGACTTTGCACTATTACAGTGAACAGTAAGCATCTCCCGTCTTGCACGAACACAAACCACAGCATCAAGCTGTGTTTGCAAATTATACCTCTGGCGCTGAAACAGCAGCAATGCTGATGGGCAGTGATTGTACCGCACAGAGAGTTGCTCTCCCTAGCATTCCAGACGATATTTTCTTTACCAAAGAAGGGAGGAAAGGAGAAAAGAGCAGACAGTTCATGCATTTATGTCACCTGGATCCCACTGCACATACAACAATAAGGGTGGAGATTCAGAGATAATCATTATGTTCCACATAAAATGAGAATCTAGTACTTTGTTCCCTTCTGTAATATTTGCTATTACTCTTGTTAAATTCCCTCTGTCGATTTCAGGCTCCTGATCTGATTACCAGATTCTGTAAAAGGGATGAATTACATCAAACAGTCTCGCACCCCTAAAGATATTTCAAGCCATAAATAGTCATTTAGTCACTACTGCTGTTCATTCATACCACTGACATTCAAGAGCGAGCCAAATAATTCCGGGCACAATCTGAAAAGTTAATGTGCACTGAATACATGCGCATTTTGTTCATTTGTCAGACGATGGTCTCTGAATCTCTCTTTGATTTAATTCCTCTCTGAAAGAATCAGTCACTTCGCGAA